CTGCTTTGCAGTGGAAAGAAGTCCCAATCTTTTGTGCCCAACAAGATATGATGGCCCATGACTATGATATTTCTTGAAGTCCATCCGCGGTTTTTGTTGTCTTGGCTCAAAACAGTATTCGGACAATTGCGGCTGCAAGTCTTCCTTCAACGAAAGGAAGCAACAGTGCGTGGTGATGATTCGCAGGCGGCTGCGGCGTAAACAGTCTGGGATACCTACGAATCTTCTCATGTGGTCGAAGTTGTCGCTGGTTTTTGAGTGGCTAGTGACGGCTAGTGGAATTTCTCAGTCTGCAGATCTTCCGCATGATGCCTGTGGCAAAGTGCTGCAGTCAACTCTTAGATGGACGCCACCACAACCTATGGATCCGTGTGCTACAGCAGGAGATCGTGCCGAACCATTTCAAAAGCTCCAGATGCAATGTGCAGAGCACTGTCTAGCAGGATTCTGCCAAAGTTCTAGTGTGAACATGCGAGCTTTTCAGCGAGCTTCAGATGCAGCCATATAAAAGAAAGCTGGCAGCTGATGCTTACCTGGTTTCAACCTTCTTTTAAGAAACTGGATTTGGCGTTCAGCCTTTCAAGGTGCTTTTCAAGACTTTGCCCCGGGGATTGGAGAAATTGTCTCTGGATTTCGAAGAAGTTGGGACTTTGGGGCGGGTGCTTCATCCATTGTCCGCAAAGATCTCGGCAATGCAGTGTTTGCAACAGCTGAGTCTAACTTTTAACAAAGCTGAAGACACTGATAGCATCAAGAGTAATTTCCCCTCAGCAGTTTCCAAGCTGGAAGTCTGCAATGGTGTTCACCATTTGGACGATTCTGATCAACGCACCTTTGCGCAATCACTGAGCCAGCTATCCAAACTCACATACTTGAGCTTGCATCTTCTTGCTGATCATGAAATTCCATCCCCAGGTTTCCATGTTCCAGTCGCATCCGGGCCATGGGGTGATCTTTTAAGTGGCATCAAACATCGCCTGAAGAGTTTCTGGCTGCTGTTTTTTGGTTGCCTAATTCCACGAGGAAGTCTGGAAGCACTCTTGACCATCTTGGCCAAGCAGCAACCACACCTGGAGAAATTCAATTTACTTCTCACAGGATTCTGCCAGTACGAGTCTGTGCCTCATCTTGTGTTGCCTCCTGGACTTCAAAGATTAGAAATCACCAATGCTGAGGATATTGGTTTCGTTTCAATTACAGTGCATTCCCGTATCTTCGATCCCTTCGCATTTCAGTGTTCGACAGCGAATGGTCGACAGAAAGCTTCTATGGCTTGCTGCATCAGTTGCCGTCCAATCTTCAAAGTCTCCATTTTGAGATTGATTCCATGTCACTGCGAGAAGTGGGTGCTGTGGTTTTTCCTCCTACAGGAGCTGCGTTTCCATGTGCTGGATCCTCCCGTGACCGTCTAAAGCGCAACGTCGTCAGAGCTTTCAGGATCTGGCGGTGAGGTTCTCAGATGTGACCTGCCATCAAAGGAGCCAACAAAACACAGAGCTCCATGGCAAGCAGCAAATACAAGAGTGGGCCGCCTCAAACAAATTGGAAGTGAAGGGGTGAAACATGGTGAAACAATGAGACATGTTTGATCCCGAGTACATTGGAGGGCTTTCTATCAAGTGTGCCAGCACACAAGCCGAGCAGACGATGCAAAAAGGTGACCCGACACAAAGTGTTTTGACAATCTAATGACTATATAATCATTACTAATCAGATTGCAATCATCGTCATTCCACAGGATTCCCCCTGTTTGTTGCAATCTGTGGCTCCGTCTCCGAGGTGGGGTGTTGAGTTTGTCAACACTGGTATTTGGAACTATGTGCGATATGTCAGCAGCCCTGGGCCGATCTCGAAACTGATCTTGTCAAGATAGCAAGCCAGCCACACACCTAGGACCTAGGACCTAGGAGGATCACATCCCATACTCATACAACATGATACAATATGATCCATGACGGTCCATGACGGTACAGTCAATATCAAGTACTCGTAATTCTGTTCTCCTTGATGATTGTAGGATTCCCTTGATATGGAGCAAATAAGTATAAGCTGTTTGATGTGCGCTTGCTGTCACCTGTTTGAGAGCAAATCAATCAGTGTAGATCATGAGCTGCAGGTGATGCTGGCAGATGTGGTGATCCGCGACGGCCTGCCCAAGGATTGGAAGGATCAGGCGAAGCGGGCGGAGTTTTAGAGAATGGCTGTGTCCAATGCCCAACTGTTGGTGCCTTTGAAGCTCCGTCGAAGATTCCACTGAAAGATCACCAGTTGTGCCTTGAGGCAGCTGTGTTCTATAGCTGGTTCGAGTCGGTGGGCTTTAACCGTCCTGCTCTCAGGCGTAGGAGTGAAGGGCTGCATTCCTTTTGCCCTGCACGCGAAGCATGAAGCATTGCAGGATTTGTTGTGATTTTGCTTGAAACAAGTAGCAATCATAGAAGTTTGATTGATTGTTCCCCACATATTTGTGTGGGGTTCTTGTTTTTGATTCTGTATCCCGCCCCCTCCTCCTCCTCCGCCTCCCCCTCCTCCGCCTCCTCCGCGTCATACACCATCTTTCACACACCATCTTCACACACAACTTTGTCACCCACCATCTTTCGCACACCATCTTTGTCACACACCTTCTTTCACACAAAACTTTGTCACACACCATCTTTCAGCCCAACTTTGTCACACACCATCTTTCACACACAATCTTTGTCACCCACCATCTTTTATACACAATCTTTGTCACACACCATCTTTCAAACACAATCTTTGTCACCCACCATCTTTCACACACAATCACACACCATCTTTCACACACCATCTTTGTCACACACCTTCTTTCACACACAACTTTGTCACACACCATCTTTCACACACTATCTTCTCACACAAGTTTGTCACCCACCATCTTTCAGACACCATTTTTGTCACACACCTTCTTTCACACACAACTTTGTCACACATACACACACACACACGCACACACCGTCTTTCACCCCAACTTTGTCACACACCATCTTTCACACACAACCTTTGTCACCCATCATCTTTTATACCCTTCTCTGTCACACACCGTCTTTCACACACAATCTTTGTCACCCACCATCTTTCACACACAACTTTGTCACACACCATCTTTGTCACACACCATCTTTGTCACACACCATCTTTCACACAGCACTTATGGCACTGGGCTGGCTCTGGTGGCGCGCTTGGGCGCGCTTGGGCGCGCTTGGTTGCCGGTGACGCCGCTCAACTTTGCATGGCAGGTGTGGCACTTGGCGACATCTACTTTGGGTTTTGCGTGGCAGGTGTGGCACTTGGTCACATCCACCTTGGTTTTGGGTGGCAGGCGTGGCACTTATGGCACTGGGCTGGCTCTGGTGGCGCGCTTGGGCGCGCTTGGTCGCGGGTGACGCCGCTCAACTTGGCGTGGCAAGCGTGGCACTTGGCATCTACCTTGTTTTTCCCGACATCTTTGTGTGGGGTTCTTGTTTTTGATCCTATATCCCGCCGCCTCCTCCTCCTCCGCCTCCCCCTCCTCCGCCGCCACCTTTGTCACACACCATCTTTTTCACATAACAACTTTGTCACACACCATGTTTCACAGACAATCTTTGTCACTCACCCTCTTTCACATACCAACTTACAACTTTGTCACGTACCATCTTTCAGACACAACTTTGTCACCCACCATCTTTCACACACCATCTTTGTCACACACCATTTTTCACACACCATCTTTCACACACATCTTTGTCACACACCATCTTTGACACACACACCATCTTTCACACACAAATTTCACACACACCATCTTTCACACACCAACTTTCACACACAACTTTCCCACACCACCTTTCACACACCAACTTTGTCACACACACCATCTTTCACACACAACTTTCACACACACCATTTTTCACACACCAACTTTGTCACATACACCATCTTTCACACACCATCTTTGTCACACACCATCACACACCAACGGCAGGTGTGGCGCTTCGTGACATCCACTTTCGTTTTGCGTGGCAAGGCGTGGCACTTGGTGACATCCACCTTCGTTTCGGCAGGCGTGGCAAGTGGCCCTTGTGGCACTAGGCTGGCCCTGGTGGCGCGTTTGGGCGCGCTTTGGCGCGCTTGGTTGCGGGTGAAGGCGTGGCACTTGGCGACATCTACCTTGGTTTTGCGTGGCAGGTGTGGCACTTGAAGACATCCACCTTCGTTTTGCGTGGCAGGCGTGGCAGTTATGGCATCGGGGTGGCTCTGGTGGCGCACTTGGGCACGCTTGGGTGCGCTTTGTCGCCGGTGATGCCGAGGTACTTTGTGTGGCAGGCGTGGCACTTGGCGACATCCACCTTCGTTTCGCGTGGCACGCGTGGCTTGCACTTGGCGACATCTATCTTCGTTTCGCGTGGCAGGCAGGCGTGGCACTTGGCGACATCTACCTTGGTTTTGCGTGGCAGGCGTGAACAGCCACCTCCGTTTTGCGTGGCAGGCGTGGCGCTTCGTGACATCCACCTTCGTTTTGCGTGGCAGGCGTGGGGCTTATGGCACTGGGCTGGCTCTGGTGGCGTGCTTGGGCGCGCTTGGGCGCGCTTGGTCGCCGGTGACGCCGCGGTACTTTGCGTGGCAGGCGTGGCACTTGGCGACATCCACCTTCGTTTCGCTGTGGCAGGCGTGGCGCTTGGTGACATCCTCCTTCGTTTCGCATGGCAGGCCTGGCGCTTGGTGACATCCACCTGAGACGCACTTCTAACCCTTACAGGCCGAATTGCTAACCTCAAGAGATCTTTGTCTAACTCCAACAAGGTAGATTTTGCTAACCACAAAAAATGTCTTAACCCTTATATTTTCACTAACCTCAATATTGTGTATTTCACTAACCACAATATTGTGCATTTCACTAACCTCTAAGGCTAAAAGCAGCAGTCCTAAGGAATAATGTAATGAAATCAGTTTGCAACAACAAAATGTTCCCTGAACACAAAAATTTTGCATCCAAAACC